TGGTCACACGTGAAAGTTCAACTAATTATCACGAGGTTATTTGATTTAGTCCCCTGGGGAGTGTAAAGAAACCTTAAAGTGTTCTTATGTTGGTACTCATGGTGCTATATTTACGTCGGTGAGAAAATCGGATCGTCTCCGAAAACTCGGTTTAGGGATGCGAATCGAAAAGAAATGAATCGATCTCTGCGAATCGATCTTTTGACATGAAGGGTATCGATTCAACGATATCGGACCGAATTGAATCGATTTAAACAATCGGGAGATCGAAAGGAAAATATCGATCTAGCCAAGATCGGATCGGGATCACCAATCCATAAACACGCGCAAGTCACATTTCGGCGGTTTTTAAGCCATTTTCTTACATACTTTGAATCGGATATAAAATTGGATCGTCGTGAATCGATACCCAAAATATCGGACAGTCATTGAATCGATTTAAAATATCGGAAGATCGAAAGGAAAAAATCGGATCGAGATCGCCCATCCCTAACTCGGTTGCTGAACAATTGGTTGGAGCGACAGAGAGAACGCACCGGTCATTGTTTCAAACACGTCCCTCGCGAAGAAGTATGCACATCTACGAAAGGTGAGCAGAAGAGAGCGAGTGTGGTCTAAATTACAAGCAATGTTTTAAAAAGTTGTTCTCCAGCAGAAATTAAGGAAGAAATGAAAGTAAAATCAATTATGTGAAGATCTTGATTTCATTCATGTATATATGATGTCTTCCAAGAAGTGGAGAATTTAAATGGCTTCAGTTCTACGACGACTGGCTGGCTCTTGTTGTGGGCCAGCAGACGCTCGAGCACGGTATGAAAAATCGGTCGCTCGGCTACACTCCAACTATTTTAGCAGTTTGAGAGACTGGACATTGCTTGCAGACACATCAAACTCATCCTTATGTTTTAGATTTAATTTAGAAGGTATCGGAAGACACCGAAACTGCTCGGCAACTAGGAAATATCATAGTGTACCGTGTTCAGAGTTGAGCGCCGGATTTCTCATACCGTGCTCGAGCGTCGTCAGCCAGTCGTCGGTGACAAAAGTTTGCATTTAGTGTTTCGTAATCGCTGGACGTCGTTTTGCGGACATATTATTGGATATTATGATGGACCATACATAACCCATTCTAACTATAACAGTCGATATTTCATTTCAGAGGTAAGTCGATTTGATGTTTGAACGAAAACAATGTCGGAGGTTGCACTCGAGGTTATCCACCGTCGCGTGAAAGGAACAACACGGACACAGACCTTTGCTGGCCGCTACGTCACTGCTACGCGCCGGTCACCGGCGGCAGTATGTGTCGACGCGCCGGCCGCCGCTCTCTGTTT